TAAATTATCTCCCTTTCTTAATTTTTCTGGCCTAAAAAGAAGTACAACCCTGGCCAGTGGGGCTCAGCTGGTTGGAGCATCATCCTGTACACCGAAAGGTCTCAGGTTTGATTCCCAGTCAAGGCACCTGATCAATGTTTCTCTCTCACATAAATGTCTCCCCCGCCCCAAATCAATAAAAACATATCCTCAGGTGAGGGTTTAAAAAGAAAAGTACAATTACTAAACAAGAAAAAGGCCTTTCTTTAACTCTCATAACTACCCTAGAGCTCCATTCCAGAATTTTAGAACAAAAATATTCAGAGGTGAAATGGAAAAGCAAAAATTATTGTCCAACTGGAGTTCTCAATCTGGCCCACATCTCTGCTGATTACTGTTATGAAACTGGGATCCAGCAGTAGTCCACACAGAGCGCTGTTCCAAAGGCACATAGTAAATGTTGTTGACAAAACTTCTAAGTGCTCTAATGAGTAGAGCTTGAGAAATGACTAATTCCTTACCTGAGTATGATGCATGTATCGGGTTAGAGGTGGAGGGCATGCTTAATCTGGTAATCACTTACAGAAAATGGGATAATTTTCCTGGAACAAGCCTGATTAGTCATGTGCCATACTGGCCAGTGCTCAAGAGAACAGGCACTACTAATTTGGCTCTGGCACATATCCACATTCTCTTTATGATTCCACCCCACCCACCACCCCCAACACCACCTCACCACAGCACCACCTTCTTACCGCCCCCCCAAAAGTAATGAAATAATAATGGTTGGTGGCACCACCTAAAGCATTACAGATGTTCCCAGGGCCTTGGAGTCATTTCTAGGTTAGAATTCTGGTACTATTACATAGCTGAGAGCACTCATTTCATCAATGTTCTGCTTTGATCTACTCCTGAAAGTTGGAAGTAGGCTGTAGTGAACTTAAAGACAGGAATTACAAAGCATGCAGCCTTTTCCTCTCCTGATCATATTTCTGGCAGTAATCTAGTACCTATAGTCTTGCCAGGTGCCTAGCTGTAGTCGGCCTTGAAGTTTCCCCGGACTCTCACCACCATAACTAACAACTTCTCTTGAAAGGGCTCTTGCAGGCTCAGTGAAGCTGAAGCTAGACAGCGGTTGTCTTCTCCTGGGAGCCTTCATCTAACAGAGCCAACATTGTCTTCTCCATACACTTAGGTTTGTGTTTGCTACTCAGTCTTCATATTAATCACTTTTCACACTCATATGTATGCAAAGTTGTTATAAAAATATTGAGGAAGAGAGGAGTCTGTGCCATACTAAGCCCATCAAGATGTTAACATTTATAGTACTGTAGAATCTCAAGGTATTATTAAGCTTTCAAGGACTAAAGACTAACAAGAACTACTGAACTGGTTCACTTAGTACCACTAAAGCCACTACCTTTTGGGACACAATTTAGAGAAATTAAGGCTTAAATTTTAAGGATGAATGCCTAAGATATTTCATTGATTCCACAAGGCTTTCTATGAAAGATGGTCCATTTAAAGGGGATAATTGAGGAGAGCTTAATGAAGATACTAATTGAAAAGGACTGAGCAAGGTTAAGGGAAGCCAAGTCAAGATAGTGAAGTACCTCAGCAGTGATCTAGGGACATGTTCTACATCTGTATTGTCCAGTACCATAGCCATTGGTTACATGTGACTACTGAGCACTTAAAATGTGGTTAATGCAACTAAGCCACTGAATTCTTAATTTTATTTAATTTTTATTAATTTAAGTTCAAATAGCCACATAGCTAATGGCTAGTATATTGAACAGTGCAGCTCAGGTCTAGCAAAGAGCAATTACAATCCTAGGCCTGATGCGGTAAGAAGGAACAATTACTGGAACCTGGAATGATGCAGAATTAGAGCTATACCTTATTACATGGATAAAAAGCTGTGGCCTTTGACAAAAAAAAGGGGAGACTCTGCCAACTTGCAGACTAGTAGGAGAAACACTGAGAATACCCTGCCTCACTCTTCCTGTCCTACATCTCCCTCTGGTGCCTATGACTGGTAATACTCACCAGAAACTCATTGATATAGTCCAGGAATGTCAGCCTCCTGGGGCATAGACCATAGTTAAGGGTGAAGAGTAGAGCTGAAGCATAACATTATCATATCATGTACACAATGAGTTGAACCATCCATTGTTTGATTTATAAGCACTCATAAATCTATATAAATATGGAACCAGTGACAAAAATGGAAAAGCATATATTCCAATAAAGTCCTATATAAAGATCAATGTTGAATCTATCCCAGAGTTCTCTTCTGCACTAAACAGCACCATGCTTTAATAAAACTGTAACTGGGTTCACTTTACGTTTCATACATGAAGAATGAGGTCAATATCATGCCCTTTCAACTATATTCAACTTTAGATTCTTACCAAGGATCTGTGTGAAACTTTTTCCAAAGTACCACCTCAAATCATAAAGCATGAGTGGGAAATTTTTCACTTGACTTAGGTTAAAGGTCACTGTAACTCAATAAGTGGATAAATGCAGATTAGAAAATGGGAGGAAGACCAACTAGATATAGGGATCTAAAGGCCCCAATTCCTCCTCTAGGACTATATGACCACTCTCTTAAGATAGGCCTACTTATGTTTTATTTTTGTATCATCTCTCTGAGTGATGGTATGTTTTAACATAATAGTGCCAATAAAATAAAATAAAAGGAGGGGTGTGGAGTGGGGTAATATCTGTAGCCAAAGTCAAATCCTATTTGTGGAAACCTTTATTGTCTACTTTAGTGGATCCTAAATAAATCAGAAGCCCAGTCCCTACTGCCCAGCACTCAGGGAAGAAAGGTCTAATGTTACTGCATGGGGGTTGAAGTAGGTGCCAAAGGAAAAGCAGTTCCCACCACCTCCAAGGAGCAGGAGCTGTTGCTCTTCAGGAAGGAGGATGCTGGTATGGTTGTGCAACATTAGTGGCCATGGTACACCTGTTGTGTCAATCTGAAACTCAGAGCTCAATCCTGTAGTCAAATCGATAACAGTCACCCTGGGAACTGAGGAGGAATGAATCCAGACCCCTCCAACCAGTAGAAGCTTCCCATTAAGCACATGAGCTGTATGGGAGTACCTTGGGGTAATGGGAGGCTGGATATCAACTGATTCCCAGAGGAATCCACAAGTGGTTGGTTTCAGAAAGACTACAGAGCTCAATGGCTCCTCAGAAGCACCCAGGCCTCCAGCAATAAGGGCCCCCGCTTGCCAGCTGCAGGCACTGTGGGAATGCCGACCTTCAGGTGCTTCCCCCTCCACTGGGATCCTGACCCAAGTCATTGTCCCCACGTGGAGAAAGTGCCAGTCACTCAATACAGGTTCCCCCACACTTCGGCCCCCATAGACAAACAAATACTTCTGATTTTCATAGGACACTTGTGTTGTTGAATGCCGCCAACATGACAAAGTGGAATCTCCTTCTGTGCCAGCTTTTGTTACCGTTACATTTAGATCCTCGGCGCTATCATCCTCACTCTTACAAAAACGAAGTTGGAGAATCCCCACGGCTGGAGTTACTGGGGACAGTCTCCCTCCCAGGACCAGAACCTGAGTATCGGAAAGTCTTGTCATGGTGTGATAAAGGCGTCCATCCCACTGAGCTTCAGTCCCCCGACTGCCTATTGGTTTGCCTTTCCACTCAAAGTCACAGCATCTTGAGAGCAAGTGAAACTTGCTCACTCGGCAATGCCGCCCCTCCTGCTCTCCAAATCCACCTGCGCTGAGAATGCCTGGGCTCAAGAGGACAGAGGCGTGGCCATATCTCTTAAAGTGTGGGCCCTGGCTGTCACTAGTGACCACCTTGGCAAGGAGGGTCCCGGAAGGGGAAGCAGGCTCTACCCGAGGAAACAGCTCTGGGGATGAAAGCACCCAAGTTTGGGAGAGAGTGTCTCCCTTAGAAGCGGCCAGAATGAAATAGTGGGCGCACTTCAGATGCCACTCCTCAAACTCGTCAAAGGGTTCGAGATTTTCCATGCGCCGACGTTCTTCTGCGGGCAGGAGGCAGCGATAGAATTCATTCATGTCCATGGCCCTGCAGGCAGTCCAGCCAGCCTGGAGGAAGCGGAGCTGCTGGGACGCCACGTCGGGGAAGCGGTCCAGGCCATGCAAAGGAGAATTGAGCTGCTGAAAATGTTGCTGCATGAACTGGCCAAAGGGGTCATGCGGCCTCATCTGCTCGTAGATCACGAAAAGAGCATCAGGAAAACGCTGGGCTGCCCAGGCGATGAGGGCCGCTGCATTATCCGGTTCCAGGTAGGTCAGCACGGCCTCAGCGAGGAGCAGAGTGGGTGCGGCTTCATCAAGGCCCGCGGCGGCCAGGGCCTGGTCCAATCGCTCCAGCTGCCTCAAGTCCAAGCCCAGGATGCGGTAGTCCGAACTCTCAAAGCACAGCGCTGACGCAGGGTCCCCGCTCCGGAAAGGCCCGGTTATCGCGCACAGTTCCGGCGTGTCTCTAATCCTCTCCGCTTTGCGCCGCGCCACGTCTGGAAAATCGACCTCAAATACCGCAGCCCAGAACAGGCGGCCTGCAGCTTTGAGGCGAAAATACAGCGAGTCCGAGCCCGCCCCCAGCGACAGGATCTGGGCGCGAGGCGCCCCCGGGGCCGCGCACGTCCGTTCCAGGAAGGCGCGCACGCAGTGCCGGACGGCGCGTGCGCGGACGTAGTACCCGCGGTGGATGAGCGGCGCGCGGCGGGCGCTCCCCGGCACTAGCAGCGCGGCGAAGGCATCGTGCACGTACCCGCGCGTGGCCAGGGAGCTCTTGCTGAGGGCGCTGCTGTCGTTGGTACTCTGCACGGCTCCCGCCCGGCGCTCGCGGCTCCGCGGGCCCATGGCCAGAAGGCGCTCAAGAGCCCCGGCCCGTCACGGTGCTGAGCTGCTCTTCCGTTCTAGTGACCCACCCGGCGGACTTCTGCACGGAAACACCACCCCTCCCCCGTGACTCCTCTTCCGCAGACCAGTTGCGTCACTTCCGGGAAGAGCGCGCCTCGCTGAGGAGAATTGAGGCGGGCGTAGCTTGCGCTAGAATTCCACGGGCTGACTTCTTTGATTCCCCGGGACTGCTGTTTCGCGGGAAGACTGTCCGCTACGGCTTATTGTGACACGTAAACTGTCAGGGCAGCTCGGGTTGTCACTTCTGCAAGCTTTTCCGTGTGAAGGGAAATTTCTAATCTAAGTTCTCATAGTTGACTCAACTGTTGACAGAAATCTGTAAGAGGTGAGTCTGTGGGGACTGACAGCCAGAACTTGTACGGGAAGATCTGCACCGCGGACGCTGGCGGGCAAGTAGAGGAAGGGGTCGGTCCTTGGATACTAACTGCTAGTGCAAATTTATTTAATGCTTTAAAGGTTACAAAGAGAGATCCCACTCAAGTCTGAGAAGAAGTCAGAGGGGTCTGGTGCAAAATGAACAGGCCTTTACAGAGGTTGTGTTTCACCCAATAAAAATTTCCCCGCAGATATATATACTATTGATGGTCTTGTATTCCTGGCTCTGTGCTAAGCTGCCAGTAAGTAAATTACTCAGCCCCAGATTCTCAGCTATAAAATGACATTCCCCTCTACTTTCCAAATTCTGTGATTCTAGGGTCGTAAGGGAATCACAGAGGCGAGGTGATTATTCCCTCATGATACGGTCTGAATCTTGTTGGGGGTTTAAAATAGTAACCATCAAGTTTCTGAGGTGGGTGTTCAGGCATCATCACCAGTAGAAAACTGCCTCCAGAGATATTTAAGGAGACTTGTAATTTATTCATTGGGATTTGGTGACTGACTCGGGCTGAGATGGAGAAGAAAATCAAGATGACTAAAGGTGTGGTTACCTGGAAGCAATATAGCATAATGATTAAAAGTATGAGTTTTGGCCCTGGCCGGTGTGACTCGTGGATAGAGCGTCAGCATTGCGAACTGCAGGTTCTCGGGTTCAGGGCACGTGCCTGGGGTGCGAGCCCCATCCCCAGTAGGGGGCGTGCAGAAGGCATACAGTCAGTGATTCTCTGTCACCATTGGTGTTTCTATCTCTCCCTCTCCCTTCCTCTCTGAAATATATAAAATGAGTTTTGAAATTCTACCAATTCGAGTTTGAATACTGGGACTCAAAAGTTTGAGTCAGGATAAAGTTTTGTTAATTGAAAAGTTTCCTTTAGCTTTAGTGTTTAAGAGCTATCAATAACTTTAGGGAGAGCAATTTCTGTGCAGCAATCAGCAGGATCCACGTTATAGTGAATGGGAAATAAGTAAATGGAGGCAGCCAGTCTAAGTTACACTTTCAAGGAAATTAGCTCAGAAGGAGAGACAGGGCGGTAGTTAAAGAGGAATGTAGAATAAAAGACAGTTTGGGTGTTGTTGTTTTTAGGTGGAAGCAAATACTATATTTGCATGTTTGTTCCCTGAGTGCAGAGAGCCAGTGCGGGGTGAGGGAGAGAGGTTGAAGGAACAGAAAAGTAAGAATAACTAGTGGTGTAATGAGTTAGAATAGATGGGAAGGAATGGAATTCTGGGCACAAATTAGTCTGCGAATCAAGAGAATGGATCTTTTTTCCTCTGGCTTCTGAGGGAAAAAATGGTGTAGATGAAGATAAGTTTTAGGTGTGGGGAGGGGAGACAGAAAGAGGAAATTCATGCCTGAGGGCGTCTGTTGTCTCTGTGAAGCTGGTGGGAAGCAGTTGGGTCTACTTGAGTTTGGAATTACCTTTGAAGGGAATAGGAAAAGAACTCCCCTGAACTTGTTGGACCTTGGGATCCTCATCTCTAAAATGAGGGGACTAAGTCTGCTTTGTGAATTGTCTTAAGGTTGATTGAGGAGCAAATGGGGGTGGGAGGAAGAGTTATAGAACTTTAAAAAAAAATACAGAGAACTATGGAAATAATATTTTAATGACAAGTTAGTAAAATGTACATGATATGTTAGAAATATTTTTTATTTCTTTTTTTAAAAATATATTTTATTGATTTTTTACAGAGAGGAAGAGAGAGGGATAGAGAGTTGGAAACATCAATGAGAGAGAAATTTCGGTCAGCTGCCTCCTGCACATCTCCCACTGGGGATATGTCTGCAACCAAGGTACATGCCCTTGACCGGAATTGAACCTGGGACCCTTCAGTCCGCAGGCTGACGCTCTATCCACTGAGCCAAACCGGCTAGGGCAAATATTTTTTATTTCTAACAAAAAAGAGCAGAAATCAAAAGTGATTCAAGAAGAAAGAGAATAGGGAAAAATTTGTGATTTGGGTATCTTACGATTGTTTTCTGGTTATTATTTTTTAATCTGTTTATTCTTATGTAAAATGGAAGTAATAATACCTCACGGGTTGTTGTCAAGATTAAGAAAAATAACCATCTAAGACACTTAGCACAGTGCCTGGTTCATAGTAAGTGCTTAATAAAAAGTTACAAATAATTTTATTAATCTGAGGTCCCCTACATCTCCCCTACTCATGAAAAAAGTACTCTGGGAGACAGGAGACTTGGTTCTGGTCCTTCCCTAATTTGATAAACTGTTAGTACAAACGTAGAAAGGTCTTATCTCAGTGTGTTGCCTTTCAGCTTCTCACTCTCATTCCAGCTTCTGGCCCATGCAAAATCCAGCCCAGGGCCCAGCTGGTGTGGCTCAGTGGTTGAGCATCAACCCATGCACCAAGAGATCATGGGATCCATTCCAGGTCAGGGCACATGCGGTGGTTTCAGGTTCAATCCCCAGTAGGGAGCCTGCAGGAGGCAGCCAATTGATGTTTCTGTTCCTCTCTCTCTTTCCCTTCCTCTCTCTCTGAAAAAAAATAAATAAATAAAAAAAAATCCAGCCCAGGAAAGTTGAATTTGGTGGGGAATGGTATTGTTGATAGAAATATTTTAGGCAAGGATCAGTGAAACAATTTTTTCAAATGTGCTTGTTTTGTGTTTCACATAGGTTACACTAGAGGCCCAGTGTACAAAATTCGTGCACTAGTAGGGTCCCTAGCAGCTGCTGGCTGCTGTCCTGGGCCTCCCTCCCTTCCCCCAGCTGGCCCCACCCTCTGGTTAAGCTCCCAGACTAATTCCTGGTGGAGGGAACAGTTTGCATACTACACTTTTATTATATAGGATTGTAGCCAGTGGGTCAGTAAATTTACTCACAACTATTTAAAAGAGAATGGTTTGAATGTGGCACAAAATAAGGTCAGGATCCTAGAGTAGGTTATTATCAGCCTGCTATAGAAAATGTCTTAAGTGCTTTTTTAGACTGTTGTCAAACCAGGGAAGTTCTTTCTCACAATTCATAATAATGAAGCTATTTTCAATATTAAAAAAATAATTTAATTATTTCATAAACAATTCTTTCAAATAAATAATTTGTTAAGTATTCTAAATGTTAATTTATTAAAATTTTTAAGTAAACATTACAATTATTGAAATTTTTAATTTATTAAAATTAGTTCAAAAAGTAATCAAGTTTTATATGCTTGTTGTAAAACCTCAAAATTGCACAAAACTATGTAAGGTAAATAAAGTAAAATTCTCTCCCCTGACCTTTGCCACCTCCAACCCACAATCTAGTGGTAACAGTTTTCTGTGTGCCCTTTCATATGTATTTTAGGAATAAAGATATAAATAAGAGAGAGAATGTGTGTGAGTGTATACGTACATACATGCTTTATTCATAAATGTCATCTTTCTAAACCATGTATTTTGCAACTTACTTTTTGGAAGTAACACTATGTCATAGAAATCTTTCCATATAGTCATAGATATTCAGTTGAGTGGATATGTATAATTAATTTAGTCAGTACCTACTGATGGACATTTAGGTTGTTTCCTATTTTTGCTATTATAAATAATACTATAAGAAATGTATTTGTACATATCCTATAAGATTTAAGATAAATTCTTAACAATAGAGTTATTGGATAAAAATGTGTTGTGTGTGTGTTGATACATATAGCCAATTTGGTTTCCAAAAAGATCACACCAAGTTCTGCTCACACCAGAACTTTTCTTAGACTTTCACCAGTATTAGGTATTATTCTTCTGAGATTCACAATATTTTTTTCTGGGTAATTTTACAAGTTAAGTCTTTCATGAACTTTAAAAATCAATTTCTAAGGAATACTTTGAGACTATTTTTATTAACATTTACTTTGTAAGTCAATTTATGACAAATTGATTTTACCTATGCAAGATAAAGTATGTTTCCCATTTTAACGACATCTATTATGTCCCTTAGTAGAGAGATTAAACATATTAATTAAATAGTCCATTTTTTAAAATTTGTTACTATTTATTAAGCACTTACTATATGGTAATTCATTGAAATGCCACTTTTAACTCATGCTGAGTTGGCCTTGCTGTGGGCTTCTATAGCTCTGTCTAGTCCTGTACAATCTATATTCTTTATTGCCCATTTTAATATCTTGGTAACTTATTTATCCCTCTCAGTATCAATTTAGAGATTTGTAATGTAAAAAATGTTTATTTTGCAAGGTTATTGGTGAGATTAAATATTATATTATTAAAAGTGCTTATCTGGTAGGCTCTTAATGGAAACTGCTATTATTATCAACATCATCATTATTAATACGTAAGAACCCAGAGAGTCAAGGTGACTACTTTGAAAATCACTAAATTTCATTTGGAATTTTATCTTAATGTACTAGAGGCCTGGTGCACGAAATTCATGCGTGCGTACGGTCCCTAGGCCTGGCCTGCGATCAGGGCCATCTTCCCCAGGTGCCTGTAGCCAGCCCCGCACCCCGCCACCAGCCACCCCGATTCCCCGTTCACCATCGGGCAATCAGAGCCTGACAGCCAGGGGACAGAACTGAGAGGTCAGCCATTCCCACCTGCTCGCCAGCCCCACTCCCGCCATGGTTGCCCTGTATGTGTGGGGCGACTGGCGGGGCAGGGGCCTTGGCCTGAGCCACCTACCCCTCGTTCCCCGTTCACCACTGGGCAAGCGGAACTTGTTGGCCAGGGAAAGGAACCAAGAGGTAGTCAGTGCACCTCATCGTGACTGGTCAAGCGGTCATTCTGATCCTTCTGCCGTTAGGGTCAATTTGCATATTACCCTTTTATTATATAGGATAAGCCACCTTCAGCGGTGAAGGACAAATTAGGACTTATCACCTGTAATGTGCTAGGTTCTAGCCATAGTCCTTGTCCTTAGAAGCTTATAATCTAGTGAGGAAGACAAGTAAATCAGTGATTGAGATACAGTGTGATAAAGCACTGAGTGAAAGGTAGTCACTGGATTCTATGGGAGCATACAAGAAGGGAATTTAAATTACTATTTCAGTCCTCACAGCTACTCTGCACTTTTATCCCTTTTTTACAAATAAGGAAACTGAAGCTGTGAGGTTAACTGACTACTAAACTGTGAAAACTAGTAAAAGGACTAACCAAGTCCAATGAAGCCAACACCTCTGCTCTTTATATATTTTAAACAATTCAAAATATAAACTGTTTTTTACCCAAAGTAGGCTTTCTGAATTTCTACTGTTAGAAGTAGTTTTATAGAAAATGCTAATAAGTAAGGAATACATCCAACTGAATTGCAGATTGTAATCCACCTCTTACTTTTTCTTATTTCTAGTTCACATTGTTAGCTCATTAACTTTGGAGGGGCTTTTTGTCTTTTGAAGAATAAATTCGCAAAAGTCCTGTTTCTTTGCTTTTATGTCAACATCTGAAATGTTCACATTTTTTCAATAGGTAAAGCTAAACCCTGAGCAACATTTCAGCTAATTTTATAAAAATGTGTGGAAATAAAGCAATCTGAAGGAAATTCAAGACCACAAAATTTACTGACTGAACTACATGGTATTGTACATACCAATAAGAGTGTTTGGAGAAAGACCTTTTTATTCTGCTAAGTCATGATGGAAGCAGAAGACCAGCAGCAATGGAAGAGAACCTTTTTCTCAGAACTACCTAAAGTGGTGAGAATTCAACCAGAGAATTCTAGAGTGGTTGCTAATTATAATGACTCTGTGTTGTTTCTTTTCACACAAAAAAAGTGAGTTTTATAATTTATAAACTTTAAAAGTTATATAGCTAAATCTCATAGGCAATTTGCCTACTATAGACTGCAAACATCAAGTACATGGTATAATGCTATGAATCTAGTGGATAGTTAATATGTTTTTACTGATTGTATTCTTTTGTTTTAGGAACTTCATGCCCACTTGAATGGATCCATTAGTTGTAATACCATGAAGAAATTAATAGCTAAGAAACCAGGTCTCAAAATCCATGATCAAATGACTATGATCGATAAAGGAAAGAAAAGAACTTTAGAAGAGTGAGTTTGGGGAGATTGTGGACGCATTCCTTTTTCTCTCTCACTATTTTGAGATTGTAAATAGTATGTAAGAATTCAGGTTTTAATAGTCAAAGTAATAGGGTAGCCATCTGGTATGGAGAGTATAACTTGACATACAGCATTTTTCCAGCTGTCCGACTGTTGGCAATATTTTTAATGATTTATGTTGTTTGTGAAGTTGTACTATACTGAATATTCTTTAGACTGGAAAGTATAGGCTTACTGACTTTTCTCCTATTTGCTCCTACCAATGAGGGATGGTGGGAGTGGTGGTAGAGAAGGGAAACTAGTATTTTCCACTTAAAAATATCAGTAATGTTTTCTTTTCAGTCATTGGTCTTTTTAGATCAATGTAATTTTCAAAAAACCTATCTGTAATTCTTTATAAATATACAGGGTGTCCTAAAAACACGTATACACACTTTAACAGCTGATAGCTCAATTGATGTTTCTTTCTTTTCAGCCAGACTAAGCTTTGAACAAAGGAAGTTCATCCTAAAATGCTACTGGAAGTTTGAAAACGCAGTTGAAGTACAAACACTGCCTTTATGATATTTCAAAGTATGATTTTTTCATACTTTAATTTTCATTACTTTTTAGATTTAACTATTTTGAAATAATAGATGAAGCCAGACTAAGCTTTGAACAAAGAAAATTTATCCACTAAACTTTTTTTATGGTACAAAAAGATAAAGTTTATGGTACAAAAAATTGAGGGCGCACAAATACCAAACAATATTATTCTTGATGTTTGCGATTCCATTCCTTCGAGTTATCAGCAGTGCCTGGACCAGAACGGTCATCAGTTTGAAAACAGATGTTGACAAAAAAAATTATTCATTTCTGTAGATTCTTTTAAATTTTGAAAATGCACTGTATGTTAATAAACACTATAATCATTCACACTGTGTATACATTTTTTGGGATACCCTATATAATTACTAAAATCTAATTGCTTACTGAATTTGTCTTGAGCTTTTGATGACTAGAGTATCTTAAAACTTTTTATTCATGTTATAGATGTTTCCAGATGTTTCAGATTATTCATCAGCTTACTACTAGCCCTGAAGATATTTTAATGGTAAGAAATGATGGTTTTGTTTTTCATAATATTTGACCATAGATAGAAAGGCTCTATCCCTATTGCTTGGAAGATTTTTCACTGCCTGGGTGGATGTTATAGAGAGTGAAGAAGTTCAAGAAGTGCCTAGAAATGGAATTATGAATTCCTAGCAAAATTGTACCTTTCCTCTGGGAATGTAGTACTAAAGAACACCTCTGTGTTCTCTTATCTGAAGCTCCAGGATACTAATAGTTTCCATGATATGGAAGACTGGTTTCTGTATCATTGATCTGACTAGGATGGCATTTAAAATGTCCTCTTTGCTCAGCTCATGTGGCTCAGTGGTTCAGCATCGACCTATGAACTAGGAAGTCATGGTTCAATTCCCAGTCAGGGCACATGCCTGGGTTGCAGGCTCAATCCCCAGTGTGGGCACAGTGTGCAGGAGGCAGCCAGTCAATGATTCTCTCTCATCATTGATGTTTCTAATTTCTCTCTCCTTCTCTGAAATCAATACAAATATATTTAAAAGAATAAAAATAAAAATGTCCTTTTTGTAAATGAAGAGAAACAAAATCCTGTCAGTGTTCTTAATCATTCAGCCTTTAGATATCATTTACCCTGGTCATTTAGAAAAATGCAAAGTAAGAAGTATAACCTGTGTTTCTGGAGAACTAACTTTTGACTGATCAAGAAAGAATTTTCCTCTTTGGCCAAGATTGATCCTCACAATAAACACTAAATTAATCACCTTTTGGAGGAGAGTTGAATCTAAAACTTTAGTTCAACAAAAGTTGACTGAATGCCCATCATGTTCCAGCACTAGAGACTGGGGGATATAAAGACAGATTGACATGGTCCCTGCCCTTGAAGAATTTATAGTCAGGGCTGAATCTGGCAGACACAGCTGTGGACCCCAAGGAAGTATTCTTGGACGTGGGGTAGGGATGATTCCACAGGCCTCACTGTGGCCTAGGTAAATCTTCCTTTACTCTCACGCTATACTTGCCAGCAACCTTCTATTATTCATTTGATTTCACAGGTATCTCACCACCAAGATGAGGGGTACCCTGGATAGTAGATATGATCACTTCAGCCACTGAGAAGAACTGCCACTTCATACTCATTGTTAGTGCACACATTAACAAATAGGCTTCTGCATTAGTCTCCTGGGAGCTGGGGTAGAGTGACTTGGGATCTCTGGGCCTGGAGCAATGATAAGATGCAAGTTCCTCAACCTACAGAGATGAGGCCCACAATAGCAGCAATGTGAAGCTCCTAGAGAAGCAGTGCCACTGGGTCTAGTATACAGAGGCTGCAGGCTCATGCTCGGTAGTGAAGGAAGCAGTGGTGTCTCTCTTGGTATAGGGGTGTCATGTGATTTTTGAATGCTGTTGTGTATAGTCCAGCCGTGGGCAAACTACGGGCTGCGGGCCGGATCCGGCCCGTTTGAAATGAATAAAACTAAAAAAAAAAAAAAAAAGACCGTACCCTTTTATGTAATGATGTTTACTTTGAATTTATATTAGTTCACACACACACTCCATCCATGCTTTTGTTCCGGCCCTCCGGTCCAGTTTAAGAACCCATTGTGGCCCTCGAGTCAAAAAGTTTGCCCACCCCTGGTATAGTCTCTGAGGCTGATTCTCTAGACCTCCATTACATTTATATTATAATAAATTTATTTTTGGTTTTAATTTAAAAAAAGAAAAAGATGAGACTCAGACCTTGGATTGCAGTGAATCCACTAAGGTAGTTCCTTTCCCCTGTTAGGCACATGTACACATAGTCAAAGCAGGTTAGGATTAGGATTTTGCCCCAGCTGGGTGGCTCAGTTGGTTGAAGCATTGTCCTGTATACCAAAAAGGTTGCAGGTTTGATTCCTGGTCAGAGCACATATGTAGATTGCGGATCTGATCCTGGTCAGGGTGTGTATGGGAGGCAACCGATCGATGTTTCTTTCTCACATGTATGTTTCACACGCTCTCTTCTCTCTCTCTCTTTCACCTCTCTCTCTCCCCCTTCCTTTCTCTAAAATCAATAAATATATCCTCCAGTGAGGATTTTAAAAAAAGATTAGGGTATCAACTGTAAGGACTAACTAGGGCACGTTGTCACAGTATCCCTAACCTGGTCCTTTTTCTATTAGATTTGGTATTTTTTAGGATTGATGGCAGAGATGGAAACATGCCTTTAGATATCATTTACCCTGTCATTTAGTAATTTTTGGATTGTTGAGATTTGTACTAAATTAGATATAGTTTGACTCATATTTATCACTCACTTTCTTTGCCTAAGGAGAATTTTCCTATATACTTCTGGGGGAAATTTAACCCTGCCTAAAGAATTTTATGAAAAATACAATGTATTCCTAAATATCTTGAATAAGAATCTTAAGCCATGACTTTAAATTGTACATCATTAATGTCTGATCATATTAGCTGTTCATTTCCATATGTTCCTATCTAGTACTACACACTCATAGATGGTTTTAACTGGATTTAGTTTTGCCTTCTCTGTTTTATCAAACTGCTGTTATGAACACAAGGAAATAGAAACATGGTTAAAAGGAGAGAAAAACAAAAAGTGTGAATGATGTACAGATTTGGATTTAATGTGGAAATGAGGGGTGATGAGAGATAATGGAAATTTTGCAGTTCTGTCATGGTCTCCATCAGGGGTGTGGCAAAGCAGGTATTCTTAACCACATGGAGGATTTCCGACATGTTTCCCAAATAAAATGTAATGAATGAAATGAAGCTGTAGCATTTGGCACTTTAATTGGGACCCTTACACCAACATTATCAATATTATGTTCATTGCTTTTATTATCAGGTCACAAAAGACGTCATTAAAGAATTTGCAGATGATGGTGTCAAGTACCTGGAACTAAGGAGCACACCCAGAAGAGACAGTGCAACAGGTAGAATTTAATTATTTCTCAGCCAATGTAATCTTTTCTGTGTGCTTTGGTCATTCATGTGTTTACAAGTTGAGAATATGAAGCACTTATTTTTACTCTATTGTAAAAGTAGAATCAACATTCCAAATGTTATGATGTACATTTATGGTGCACATTATTAATGAGTAAGTTATTTTTTAAAAAATTAACTCAGGTATTATCTGTTTAAGGGGAATAAGAAGGCCTGCAAAAATATCATTTGTTTTTTTGTTTTTTTTTATTTCAGAGAGGAAGTGGGAGGGGGAGAGAGAGAGAAACATCAATGATGAGAGAGAATCCTTGATGGGCTGCCTCCTGCACGTCCCCTACTGGGGATAGAGCCCACAACCTGGGCATGTGCCTTGACCAGAATCAAACCCAGGACCATTCAGTCTGCAGGCTGACACTCTGTCCACTGACCAAACCGGCTAGGGTTCATTTGTTTTTCTTGTTTGTTTTTCTCACTCTGAGAAAAGAACATTTGCTTCTTCTAGTTGTGTTGTCTTAAACAGGCTAATTCTTGCTGCCTGCATCAAGAGCACTTGTGAAACAATGTCATCGAGTAGATACAGAATCATGTTTTGTAACAATCACTGAAATGAGGTTATTCATTCACTTCTCAGGGACTAGTAGTGTCTTTGGCTAGGAGCAAGCTGTGATGTGGTAAAACCCCTCTGGATGGAGATGAGCAGATCTGGATGTGGTCTGGAGAAAATTCCGTAAGAGTAACATCAGGAGATATTATGTAGTATCTTTGGGTCCCTCTTAGCATTCTGTGATCCTACCAGGTCATCTTGCACCCTGACATGTATAGCCCAGTCACCATTCAGCGGGTAAAATTTTTTAACTACATATCGTAAAGTAAGTGTTGACAACTGGGGCAAGCAGAAGAGACTTACCTTGCATTTTTTAACTGCAGAATCAGTTCTAAGTTATGCTGGTGAGGGTAGTGAGAGAAAAGGGTAGAAAAAAGCCTACCAATTATTAGAGCTAGGTTGCTCTTTGAATAGAGATTCAAAAGAGAGGTTTTAACCTAAGTATGTAACAATAGGGGAATTGTTAAATAAAGATTAATGGAACGGTAGGCAACAATAAAAATAGTTTAAAATACACTTTAATGACTGGAGATATGCTCAGAAGATAGTGTTAAATGACTGAACAGAATACATATTTACTTAGTAGCATCCCATCTATTCAGAATCTATATATATAAAAAGCCAGCGACCAGAACACTGTAACAACCAGAATGACCGGTTGCTATGACGCCCACTGCCGCCAGCGAACTGGCCCAATCGGGGGTGGGGCGGGCCAGCCAACCTCCCGAGGCCCCTTCCCCCAACCAACCCCATCCCTGATTGGCCTCTCCCACCCTGATCAGGGGGTGGGGCCGGCCAGCCAACCTCCCACAGCCCCGCTCCTGATCAGCCTCTCCCACCAGATCGAGGGTAGGGCAGCCAGCCAACCCCCCCACGGCCCTTCCCCCCGGCTGGCCCCTCCCCCGATGGGCCCCCACCACCCTGATCAGCCCGCAGCCCTTCCCCCCAGTGAGCCCCGCCCCTGATTGCCCCCCACCCCAATAGGAGGCAGAACCAGCCTGCCAACCTCCTGCAGCCCCTCCCCCCAGCCAGCCCCGCCGCCAATGGGCCCACACCACCCCGATTGGCCCATGGCCCCCTCCCCCCAGCTGGCCCCCCCCCACCTGTGCATGAATTCGTGCACTGGGCCTCGAGTATCTACACTAATAAAAGAGAAACATGCAAATTTGTGTCACTCTGCTACACCCACCAGTCAATCAGGATGAGTATGCAAATTAACCAAACAAAGATGGCAGTTAATTTGCATATGCAGGCGCAGAGCGAAGACTGAAGATGACTGAAGACTGAAGAGGCTTGGCTTCTCCGCTGCAGCCAGAGCAGAGTAGCCAAGCCTTGCTGCTGCGGCCAGACCAAAGGCCTGGGTCCCGGGTGCCGGAGGAAAACCGGTGCCGGCAGCCAGGGGAGGAAGGTCTGTTGTGCGAATCTTCGTGCAATGGGCCTCTAGAATCTATAAGAAAAGGGTAATATGCTAATTAGACCAGATGTCCTTCTGGACGAAGCTGGGGCCAGAGGGAAGCCCAGGTCCCAGGTGCCAGAGGGAAGCCGGTGCCAGCAGCCGGGGGAAGGAAGGCCTATTCTTGCACGAATTTCATGCATCGGGCCTCTAGTATACATAAATATATATGTATGCTTAGAAAAACAAAGACAGTAGTTATCTTTGAGTGGTGGGATTATATGTTAGTTTTATTTTTCTTCTTTATAATTTCCTGTGCTTTACTAGAGATTTTCCACCAAAAGTAAGCATTTTAGAATTGGGGCACAATAGTATTTCAGAGGAGGTTGTTCTGGAGAGTGTTCTAGGGGTCCCCAGAAGAGGAGAATTTAAGCACCCAAAGAGAGGCTTTGGAAAAGGGCTTGTTATTCTTGTTTTGTTAAAACATTAAAAATTTTTCATAACATTTTGTGAGACTAATTTTATGTCTGTTGAATCTAAGAATCCTTTTTAGTCTTGTTTTCATTTTATTTTTTATAGTACTTAATTATTTTTCCAACTTTATTAAAGTTCAATTAGTATTTACTAAAATATATCCATAGGGCTGTGTTTTAATTCATCTTTAGCCATGCTTTAGTCACAACATAAAGTGAAAATGTAATTTGTTCACATAGGGATACTAATGTTGAAGGATTAAATAGTTGATGATCTCTTTACATGTTCTTTGTGTCCTTTCCAGGAATGACTAAAAAAACTTATGTGGAATCTGTACTTGAGGGTATAAAACAGTCTAAACAAGAAAACTTAGACATTGATGTTAGGTAAGAAGCATTGTACCTTAGTGATCACCATTTAAAAATCTAGAATGAGTGAAAATTTTACTACTTTGACCATGGGTGTAATGGATTTTTATAAGTCAACCAATAACTGTTTTTTATCTTATAACTAGAGGCCCGGTGCACGAATTTGTGGGGTCCCTAGGCCTGGCCTGCATGATCAGGATGAAACGGGGTTTCCAACATCCCCTGAGGGTTCCTGGATTGTGAGAGGGCACAGGCCAGGCTGAGGGACCCCACTGGTGCACTATTGGGGCTGGGGAGGGATGTGGGAGATTAGCCAGCCGGGGAGGAGCCGCAGGAGGGCTCCCGGTATGTCTGACCCATCTCACTCAGTCCCCATCAGCCTGACCCCAGCAGCAAGCTAACCTACCAGTTGGAGCATCTGCCCCCTGGTGGTCAGTGCACATCATAGTGACTGGTCGACTGGTCGACTGTCTGGCCCTGGTGGACAGTGCATGTCATAACAACTGGTCGACTAGTCGACTGCCTCCTGGTGGTCAGTGCATGTAATAGCAAGTTTATTGTTTATCTTGTTTAATTGTTAGAGATCAGAGATTATCTTGTTTAATTATTTCTATATGCTCACCCTCTAGAGCAGCAGTTCTCAACCTGTGGGTCGCCAACCTGTGGGCCGCGACCCCTTTGGGGGTCAAATGACCCTTTCACAGGGGTTGCCTAAGACCATCGGAAAACACATATACAATTACATATTGTTTTTGTGATGAATCACTATGCTTTAATTATGTTCAATTTGTAACAATGAAAATACATCCTGCCTATCAGATATTTACATTACGATTCATAACAGTAGCAAAATTACAGTTATGAAGTAGCATTGAAAATAATTTTATGGATGGGGGTCACCACAACATGAGGAACTGTATTAAAGGGTCGCGGCATTAGGAAGGTTGAGAACCACTGCTCTAGAGTGTAAATTCAGTGAGGCCAGAAACCTTGTTCTTTGGCCACTACACATCCAGTACTTAGAACAGAACTGGCACGTAATCAGGGCTCAATAGGTCCTCGAAGGACCTAGCTGTAATGTTTCTGACTATAAAATCTCTCAAAATTAAGCTTAACTAGACAAATACCCCAATTTCAAAACCACACAAAAGACATGAAGATAATTTAGAAAAGAAGACATACAAATGGCCATTAAATGTATAGAAAACCTCACTAATCAGATAATTTTTAAAAGAAATATTACAGTATCCCCCCACCACCACCACCATCAAAAAGGGTAATAACCAGTGTTTGTGAACTTACACTGTTGGTGAGCATATCCTATATAATAAAAGCCTAATATGCTAAGTACCCGGTAGTCCGTTCAACCAGTCAAAATGTAATATGCTAATGATATGCTAAGGATACTCAACTGCTCGCTATCATGTGCACTGACCACCAGGGGGCAAATGCTCCGACCAGTAGGTTAGCTTGCTGCTGGGGTCCCATGTGGACACGCCCTGGAGCCCTCTTGCAGTTCCCCCCACCTCCCCTGTTGGCCAACCTCCCATATCCCTTCCTGGCCCCGATCATGCACCAGTGGGGTCCCTGCGCTCTTGCCCAATCCAGGACCCCTCAGGGGATGTCAGAGAGCTGGTTTCCACCCAATCTCGCAGGCCAGGCCGAGGGACCCCACTGGTGCATGAATTTGTGCACTGGGCCTCTAGTATAATTAATAAAACTTCTCTAAAGAGCAATATGTATTAAGATCTATAAAAATAATTTTCCCCTCTGACCCAGTATTTCTCTTCTAGAAATGTAGCCTAAGGAAATTGATTGATGTTAAGATTCTTCATTTTAGTGCTATTTATAACAAAAAGTAGAAAACATCCTAAAATGTCCAGCAATCAGACGACAATTACATTGTTAGGTTCATATGATTTATATTATTTTCTAACATTTAATGGCAGGGGAAATTGTTAAGTGGAAAAAAAATGACACTGCATTTTATATATAGTTGATCCAAATTCTGTAAATAAATAAATGCTAGAGGAATTTCTTTATTATTTTTTAAAATATATTTTTATTTATTTCAGAGAGGAAGGGAGAGGGAGAGAGAGATAGAAACATCAATGATGAGAGAAAGTCATTTATCGGCTGCACCCTGCATACCCCACAGTAGGGATTGAGCCCACAGCCCGAGTCCACACCCAGACATGTGCCCTGACCGGGAATTGAACTGTGATTTCCTGGTTCATAGGTTGATGCTCAACCACTGAGCCATGCCGGGCTTTATTTTTTTAAATAAATAGGTAAACTAATAAGTGCAGGAAAAAAGTTACACAATATTAACAAGGATTCTCAGAATATTAGATTTCTTGTAGAATTTCAGTTAATATATGTATCAGCTATTGGATACATATTAGAATTAAATTATTACCAATTTTGTAATCCTTATGAAATAATGGATCTAAGCCTCCTGACGAAAGAACACACCACTATCTGTGAAATAACTCTTGCTAAAAAACTGAATTTGATCTGATTAAGCCTCTAGATTAGATCCAATGTTCAATTTATAGGAAATATGAGACAGGAGAACATGTTAGTAACACAGGGATTCAATCAACAAACCCAGACTGTGGGAAACTTTATACGGCAAATGACCTAGTTTCTTCAACAAATAAATTTAAGAAAAGAGGTTGGGAGGTGTGCAGTAGGGCTGGGGTGAAGGGAGTGGCTGTAGATTAAACAATGCTTGAAATGCACTGACCAACACAATGTGTGAACCTTTCGTTGGATTATCGATCGGGCAAACTGTAAGTAAGAAGTAGCTCAACAGTAAAACATGAGACAATTAGAAATTTGAACACTAATTAAATATTTGGTGCTATTCAGGAATTTATGTCTCATTCCCTCTAGCAAAGTAAGACGTCATGTCAATTAGGCGATACATTTCCTATAATAAGATGTACCTGCCGTAGCTCTCTGGCCATATTCAAGAGTTGTATTTTTTATCATATTTGTATTAAACTGCCTTTTTTTATATTAAAGATATTTGATATCAATAGACAGAAGAGGTGGCCCTTCAGTGGCCAAGGAGACTGTTAAACTTGCTGAAGAATTCTTCCTTTCTACTAAAGATACAGTAATTGGCCTTGACCTCAGTGGAGACCCTACAGTAAGTTATTTTTCCTAAATACATTTTATTTCTAAAGAAGTCAAATTAGTTTGTGGGATAAGGATAACCAGAATGCATACAGCAACTATCCTTAACCAGGATTCTGTGAAAGAATTAAGCTCCATAAAAAAGCAAAAAAAGATTTGCATGACAATATGATTATTTTCTCCATTCTTCTAAAGATAGTACACAGCTAGTTCCAGTCTACATACATAGGAGAGAAGTCAGTTCATTTTATACAGTGGATGTCTAATGCTTAATTATCTCATAGAACCCCCAGTTGAGAAAGGCTGGCCTAGAGCTTCTTGAATGTCAGATTCAAGCAGGGTGTCTCATATGTGGCACTATTGGTATTTTGAGCCAAATAATTCTTTCTTGTGGGGACTATACTGTGCATTGTAGGGTGTTTAGCAGCATTCCTGGCTCTATCTACTAGATGCCAATAGCGCCCTCCCAGTTGTGACACGCAAAACTGTTACATTGCCAAATGTCCCCGGGGTTTGGGAGAGGGGAGGGGTTGGAGATTGCCCTTAGTTGAAAAGCCACTGAATTAATCTCATGAAACTGGTTCTTTTGGCTTTGTCTAAACTCGGTCTGTTCTACTGTTGTTTCATCCATCCATTTGATAGAAGCTTTTTTTAGTAATCATATGGCTTCCTGAATCAGATAAGTTCTTGTTAGCACTAGATACCCTTCCATAAATAAAATTTGGTGATTACTAAATCTAGCTTAGCTACTAGTAATTGACCTCAGGTTCACTGATACTTAAGATTCTTGAGGGCAGGACTATCTTTGTTAACTTTGCATTCCCCAAAGTGTTTAGCACATTGTAGGTGCCTTATAAACAAAATGTACAAATGAATCAATCTGCTGAGGTTTTTTCCGGCTATTATTTTATTTATTTGTTTATTGGGACAGAGTACCCAGTTCCTCAGTTTGCCCACGGTTCTCATGCATCCTCATTTTAACTTTTATCTTCAAGGCAGGACAAGCAGAAGATTTCTTGGAACCACTTTTGGAAGCAAAAAAAGCAGGTCTGAAGTTGGCATTGCATCTTTCAGAGGTAAATAATATTTTAAAATTAGGCTGGAGAGGGTAGAATACAGTGGATTACTATTTAGTAATCAACTTTAAATGGCTAAAAAGATACCTGGCGTGGAAAAACATTTTTAGAAAGGGGAAAAGTAGAAATACGTTTTAACATAAATTATAATGATAAAGGCATGACTTGCTTTAGTCCCTCATGTTACTGGTTTTGTTTTTGTGGTTCCCGGGAGGGTGGCTGTTGACTTCCAGTACAGCTGTGTCCTTAAAAATAGCTTACTGACATCTTGCTAAAGAAAATTCATGAATTTCCATCATTGCCCTTATCATTGGTAAGCTGGCATTGAGAGAAGCACCAGTTCATCTCACTTTGTCCTCAGAGGGAAAGGGACCTGAGTGTATCACATGTACTGGCAAGAAAGGGAGTAGCTCATCATCATTTTATAAGGCTCAGAGGGAGATCAGGTGCCCCTTGATCCCCAGCTCCTTGGCAACATGAACAAGTGACAGATAATGGCTGGAGAATAGTCACTTTCTTAAGCACATCTTTGTGAGGCAAACAAGGGACTCTACTGCACTTTCACCCATTTTATAAATGGTTTATTTCTTCCTATTCTTTTTTTTTTTTTTCTTTACATACAAAAAGCTATACATAATATATACAACTATGTGAGTTTGGATTTGTTTCTTAACCAGTTAACTGCCACGCATCCCCACACGCCACGATATTTTGTATTTAATTTAATAAAATAAATTTGCAATGAATATTAGAAAAATAAATATATCACTCACAACTTGGGTGTTCTTGAATATTTTCAGCTGAAAATTCTCACAAAAAATGATTTTAAAGTTCGTCAGGGCTGTCACTTAGGGAAAACTATTTTTTTTTTTAATAGATGCACATGGTGTGTGGGGAAGGTCCGCCGCTTGCGTCTACAGACACTTATGGCGTTCAATGGGTTAAATGCAGGAAAAAATACTTATTCTACTTATTTCATGGGATTATCTTGTGTATTAGATGGAGTGATATATAAAGTTTGAATAGCATCAGGATGTAAAGATTTAAGGAAAAAATTGGAGCTTCTTGTCATTATTGGTTTTCATGTCTATAAGCAAGGGGTCAGTTACCTAGTGGCAGAACTTAAGAAAATATAGGTTCCATGTGTCCACACTCTGACCATAAAGACCTTTCACTTTTAGGAAACCATCTAGCTGACCTGATACCTGACTGAAGCAATTGGTCAATATAATGAAACAGCCAGCATGTGTCACTGTAATTAGTTATCTCTGTTCTTGGTGCACAGCATCAAAGCACTTTAGCTTAATTTTTTTTTCTTTTCTTTTTTTTAATATATTTTATTGATTTTTCACAGAGAGGAAGGGAGAGGGATAGAGAGCCAGAAACATCGATGAGAGAGAAACATTGATCAGCTGCCTTCTGCACATCTCCCACTGGGGATGTGCCCACAACCAAGGCACATGCCCTTGACCGGAATTGAACCCGGGACCCTTCAGTCCGCAGGCCGACGTTCCATTCACTGAGCCAAACCGGCCGGGGCTAGCTTAATTTTTGTTGCATTTCTTATTTGATCCATTGGATATAAGATATTTCAATTCCAAATGTTATTGTGATTTGAATTTTAGGCTATTAAGGGGTAAAGAGCACAGCTAGACATTTTCATGGTGGTTGTAGTATGTATGTAGCTAGCCTTGTCAAAATAAAACGTGAGCACACTGTGTGGAGAATCTGGGCCCTGGAGTCAGATGGAGCCAGATTTCACCCTTCTCTCTGTCATTCACTAGCTCCGTGAACCTTGGACAACTTCTGCTTAAAATGCATTATGTTTTTAACGACAAAAGTTATATGTATCTGCAGAAAATCCAAGTGTAGAGAACTATTATATAGACGGAAAAAAATAAAAAATGAAAGGTCCCCTTCCCATTTCAGTTATGCTCCCAAGTTGATCATCTTAACAGTTTTGTATTTATATTTTTCCAGACCTTTTTCTAATATATATGAACACACATATACACCACAGGACACATATATGTATGGAGTTGTGTATTTTATTTTTGCAAATTACTTTAATTTGATGAGCTTTAATTTCTTCATTATAATACTTTGCAAGATTCTTGTGAGGTTTAAAGGAAATGTATGTAAAAAGGCACAAAGTAGGTCCTTAATATGTGCTTATTATCATTGGCTATAATTATTATCATTGGAATGAATCTAGAATATTGGGAAATGAATGGGAAGATAAAAGGCAAAGAAGAGAGCTAGGAAGGTAGAAGTAATTCAGCTTTCCAGAATGTCTGTACTACCTTCTCAGGGACAGAGTACCTGGCTTTAGAAAAAAGCACCTTTAAAACAACTGAAAGAGGTTATTGATGCCCTCTCTCCTCTTTGAGATTCCAAACCTCAAGAAAGAAACACAAGTACTCCTGGATCTGCTTCCCGACAGAATTGGGCATGGGACATTTCTCAACTCCTCTGAGGGAGGATCCTTGGATCTGGTGGACTTTGTGAGGAAACACCAGATACCGCTGGGTAAGGCTTAGGGTTTCAGGTCCTTCAGACAACCCTGTGCCCCTTCCACCCCCAACCCCCATATTGCAACCCAGATGTAGAGAAGTTTTGTTCTAAATATATAAATATTATTTAGGAAGTAAAAGATATGGATAAGTGCTTTCTGAGCCTCATTTAAGTAACACAAAGTTTTAGCTTCCATTAAAACAGTGGTTCTCAACCTTCCTAATGCCGCGACCCTTTAATACAGTTCCTCATGTTGTGGTGACCCCCAACCATAAAATTATTTTCGTTGCTACTTCATAACTGTAATTTTGCTACTGTTATGAATCGTAATGTAAATATCTGATATGCAGGTTGTAGTTTCATTGTTACAAATTGAACATAATTAAAGCATAGTGATTCATCACAAAAACAATATGTAGTTATATATGTGTTTTCCGATGGTCTTAGGCGACCCCTGTGAAAGGGTCATTCGACCACCAAAGGGGTCATGACCCACAGGTTGAGAACCGCTGCATTAGAATATAAGCTCCATGAGAGCAGAGCCCTTCTCTGTCTTGTTCACTTTACATTCCCTAGTTCCTAGAACTCAGTATTATACTGAAGGAATAAGGGGCATCTAGTATTTTGAAATGACTTTAACCAAATTAAGATGTGTTATGAAAATGTGTCACTTTTTTTAAATTAAGAATTATGGAAAATTCGAAGTATATTATTATATGTATGTTGACTGTTACACACTTGTTAGTCTACATGTGTATACCTGGAGCTGTTTTTGTTTAACAGCATATATTTATGAAATGCCTACTCTGTTCCGGTCACTTTTCAATTGCTTGGAATAGAGCAGTAAATAAAACAGACAAACAAGCTTGCTTTCTCAAGGAATTTATAGTCTAGCAAATGTAAGACAGTAAACAAATGCACAAGAAAATATTAGTGTTAAGTTCTTCGAAGAAAATTAAACAGGCTGATATAATGATGAGATAACCACTTTCGATTGGATGATCAAGGAAGGCCTTTCTGAAGAGGCAAAGAAGCAATGGACTGAAATCCAGTTTACCGAATGATAAATTCGCTGAATTTACAAATTTACCAATTTGTAAAAACACTTGTTTGGGTATGCTTTTCTTAAAACTAGTTAGACTTTTCAGCAATTCATAATGGGTGAAGCTTTTTTATTTTTACCGAGGAAAATTTTAAACATCAACAAAAGTAGAGAAAATGGAAACTCTAGTGATAGCGATCGTACTTGTTGTGGTGGCTCCCAGTGCAGTGTGGGGGCAGGTTGGCTTCGCCATTTCTTGGACTGAGTGGCGCTGTGTTGAGGCTGCCTTACCCAAGAGAGCAGACACCATCCATCAAGTCAGTGAAGTATTCTACTCTGCTGAGGGAGCCTGGTACAGTTTCAAGGCAGGAATTTGTTAATAGAAGTCACTCTTAAGATGGACTGACTTGCAGCAGGCAGTGATTGGATGGTTGTCTGACTAAAAGAAGTAAGGGGTTTTCTTTGAAACCTTGAAAAGTTCCATTTCTGCTCTTGGCTTTTTATAATGCTGTAACTCTCAAGCAGTTCTGCCATTATCGGACCTTTATTTTAGCCTCCACATATAGACCAGGGAGAGTGTAGCAACCCTTCAGATAATTCCCTGGCTTCTTTATCGGGACTGGCTTACACATTCCTCTCTTCTCTCTTGTTAAAAGAAAGGGGAAGCACATGGCCGTAAAGGGAATATTAATTCCCTACCTGTCACAGTTGCTACCGTAAGTTGCACATATTTCCCACACAACCACACTAATTGAACTACAAATTTTTACACAAGAAAAGGTCAACTTTTAAAAATATATTTTTTATTGATTTTTTTAAAGAGAGAGGGAGAGAGAGAATCGTCAATATTAGAGCAAAACTTGGATCGGCTGCCTCTTGCATGCCCATACCAGTGTCAAGTTCGCAACCTGGTCATGTACCCTGACTGGGGATCAAACCAGCAACCTTTCAGTGCCCGGGATGATGCCCAACCAACACTACACCAGCGAGGGCAAGAAAAGGTCGATTTTGTAAAAGAATGAACTACTGAAAATTAGCATAGTTTAGAAAGATTTCTCATGTATCTACTTGATGATTGAGTCTACTAATCTGCTTTTAATAAAAGGTTTTTTCCCCCTTTCCTGTAGAACTCTGTTTGACCTCAAACATCAAAAGTCGGACAGTTCCATCTTATGACCAGCATCATTTCGGATTCTGGCACAGCATTGCCCATCCTTCTGTGATCTGTGTAAGGTGTTTTCTGTGAAGTATTTTGCTCCTTTTTAGTCCCTGAGTTGCTTTAGGTCAGACATTCATTACCTAGTTGAGTGCCTTGCATGCCTGAGGGTAATAGAGCCCACATAGAGGAGTGAGAGAGGACTGGGGCATGAGAAGCTACAAAGGGCCAGGGTGACTGGTTTGGCTCTAAGGGAAAAGGTCCTGGACAGTACGTAGGGGAACATTAAAAAAAAAATAGTGCCTTAGCTGGTTTGGCTCATTGGATAGAGTGTCGGCCTGCGAACTGAAGGGTCTGGGGTTGATTCCAGTCAAGGGCATGTACCTCTGTTGTGAGTTCAATCCCTGGCCCTGGTCAGGAGGCAACCAATCAATGTGTCTCTCTCACATTGATGTTTCTCTCTGTGTGTCTCTCCCCCTCCCTTCCACTCTCTTTAAAAATCAATGGAAAAATACCCTCCGATGAGGATTAACAACAACAAAAATAGTGATGCCTGGCACCCATCCCTTGAGATTCTGCTTTATATAATCAGGGAAGTGCCCTGAGAACAGATAGGTTTTAAGTTCCTTAGGAGATTTTAATACGCACCAATGGTTAGAGCACTGCTCTGGTGTTTGTTGCTTGTTTAATCCTCACCCAAGGATATATTTTTATTGATTTCAGCGAGGAAGGAAGAGGGAGGAAGGAAGAGGGAGAAAGAGAAAAACATCAATGATGAGAGAATCGATTGGCTGCCTCCTGCATACTCCACACTGGGGATCCAGCCTGCAACCTGGGTATGTGCCAGGAATCAAACCCGTGATCTCCTGGTTCATAGGTTGATACTCAACTACTGAGCCATGCTGGCCAGGCTGTTTTTATTGATTTGAGAGAGAGAGGAAGGGAGAGAGACAGGGAAACATGTATGTGAGAAACATCAATCCATTGCCTCCCCGCACACACCCCAACGGGATCAAACCTGCAACCTAGGTGTGTGCCTTGACCAGGAATCAAACCCACAGTCTTTTGGTGTATGGAATGATGCTCCAACCAACCGAGCCATTTGGCCAGGGCTGGGGCTTTTTTCTTTGTGTGTTTTTTAATGGTAAACAAGCCCCTTTAGGTACGCATAGATGTATTTATAGGCCCCTGTTTAGACTCTTAAAAGAAGCATGGTGAATAGGAAAATAGACTAAAGAAAGTTGTTTTTAAAAATCATTTCCTTGTTCATTTCAAACTTTCTTGCTTATCTTGGCAGACTGACGATAAGGGTGTTTTTGCAACACACCTTTCCCAAGAGTACCAGCTGGCAGCTGAAAATTTTAATTTGACCCCGTCTCAGGTATGGGATTTGTCTTATGAATCCATTGACTACATCTTTGCTTCTGACAGCACCAGGTCTGAACTGAAAAGGAAGTGGAATCATCTGAAACCCACAGTGTTACATTTTTAAGCTGTAATGAAGTGAATTACTTTTGAGTATGTGTTGCAACCAAGATCTTCCTGCCATATTTCTTTTAGTAAACCATCCACTTCTCATGATTAATTCCTCTGGAATCAAGTTACTGGTTTTTTAAAAATATTTCTGCCTTTCTCTTATTTTGACCATAATGGAGCTATGCCAGCCAGATACTTCTTGAGCTGTAGGGTACTTTAAGCTTCTATTTCCAGCCTTTATTATTTTTTGTCACACACACCCCCTCCTCACTCCACCCTCACTCCCTATTTTCAGCCTTTAATCTGATTTCCAGTTGTTCCAAAGTTTTGTTTCTGAAATAGCCCATGATGGGTGTTAGAGGATTTAAACTAACTAAAATATCTCCATATAATATCTGTTATTTTAAGCACCATGATGTTTCTATCTCTCCTTCTCCCTTCCTTTCTGAAATCAATAAAAACCTATATATTTTTTAAAAGGCAGGCAAAGATTTATCTCTTCGTACCAAGAACTTACTCATAATTTGCGTACACACACACATACACACACACACACACACACACACACGTGTGTGTGTGTGATTATGTGTGTGTGTGTGTGTGTATGTATATGTATGTATGTATATATATATATATATATATATATATATATATATATATATAAAATTAGAGGCCCAGTGCACGAATTCATGCAGTAGTGGGGTCCAGCCGGCCTACCTGATGGGAGCCATTGGGGGTGGGCCAGCCGGGGCGAGGGTCCGCGGGCGGTTTGCTGGCCGGCCCTGCCTCCGATCGGGGTGCGTGGGCCCACTCAGGGGCGGGGCTGGCAGGGAGGTCATTCTGCTATTTGGTCAATTGCATATTACCCTTTTATTATATAGGATGTGTGTATCTGTATATATATACACATACATATTATGTGTGCATGTGTGTGTGTATATATATGTGTGTGGGTATATATATATATATGGTATTGGTTTTTCTTGGCACATATATATTTTTAAATATACCTGAAGAAACACTGGGTACTTTATAGATATAATCTTTATTAACATGGTATCCCTGAGAGGCAAATTAAGGTATAAACATTATCCCACTTTACAGAAAAGGAATTGGAAGCAGGTTGGCTTACACATAAGACATTTGGACCCAGAATTCATATTTGTTGATACCCCAACCAGTGCTTTCCCACAAGACTATACATATACTAAATATAGTAACCTCTCATTTTAAAAAACATACTTCCCTAACCAAATCAGATCTGAAGCATTGCTTTAGACTGGTGTTTCTTATATCTTCCTGTCTGCTTAGGTAATATAATTGAGATACCATCTCCCTTTAATTACTAATAAATGTTAGAGTCCTTGTACTAGGAACCCTCAACATCAGAACCCTAATTCATCTCTCATCAAACACAGGAAGCTATGAATTACAGAATATCCTATCTCCCCACTCCTCTCCCTAATCTCATTCCAGCCACAGAACTCGAATTAAATGTGAATGTGATACAGCTACATATCCTAGGCCTTGGCCATCTGTTCACATTCCTCTTTCCTGACTTAACCATCAGAGTATCTTCTCAAGATACTACCTTTTCTGACCTTTGTCTCCCAAAGGAGCTAGTCTACTGCAATTGCTCATTCTTCTCCAGTACCAGCTGTTTCCTTATCAATAGCTGCAACATAGCACCTGATTTAATACAGATGATGGGAGCATCACCTCCTGATCTGCCTCTGGCACTCCATGCTTCAGCTGAGGCGATTCTTTCCCTGTCTCCTGCACAGCCCTGTTCCTGAAATTTTGTGCTGCTCCAAACTTCCTTACAGTCTTTCATTTGCCCTCTGCTCCATCTGCACAAAACACCTTATGTTCCCATTTCTCATTCACTTAACACTCAGTTTAGAAAAGTTCATCCCATCCTAATTTACCCAATAATCTCCCCTCCTTTGAACACCTGTTTTATGAAGCCTTCCTGAACAAAAGGCAAATACTTCTCATATTTTTTACAGCAAATTCGAATACATTAGATCTTAACATTTATGCAGTGTTACTACCTAGCTTTAAAACTTTGCAACTGTACGTGTGTACTTATTTTTTTTGTCCACGTCAGTGTCATTTTAGATTGTAAGGACAGGGACTGTTTAATTTGTGCTGAACAGGGCTCACCATACTACTATGAAAATATGGGCAACTGATTTAATACTATTTGATTATAAAGATCAGAAGTACACTTGTGTTTAAAGAGCTGCTTTTCAAAATAGATTTATACAGTTGAATATATGCATGTGTGTGTGTGTGTGTGTGTGTATTGGACTCAACTGATCAAAGATCATCTGTCCTCCTTGCCATTAAGGTAAACAGCTGCTGGTTTGGTCCGTTTTCCCAATCCATGGCAGCGTGGCAGTGGCTACTGCCCCTTGTAGGTTAGTATTGAGCACCCACGGGGAACCTAACAGTAGGCTATGTGTTTGGAGTGTGTAGAATATAGAGAATTCCCTGTTGGCAGCTTTAACTGCTTTCCCAATCATCTCATCCAGTTGCCTTGCTCTTTGGGCTTCAGGACCAAGGGACAGGTGAGATTCAGATGAAATGGACAGAAAAAAATTAAACTAGATGATGTAAATGGAGTATTTTTCTATTCCAGATCTTATAGGACCTGAAAGAAACTAAGACATCCAGGGTTTATACTGCAATATTTATGCAAGGTTTACATTGTTTCCCCATATAAAACACCTAGGTGAGAACCAAGATGGACATTAAACTCTCCTGTAAGGTAAATGAAGAGTGTGTACGACAAATGTAAAGGCTCCTCTACTTACGATGGGGCTATGTCCAGATACGCCCATCATGAGTGGATTATTTGTAAGTAAAAAATGTCCTTAACATACCAAACATCAAAGCTTAGCCTAGATGACAGTTTCTATTGAATGTGTATCATATTCATACCATCACAAAGTTGAACTATTGTAAATTGGGGACCATCTGTATATCATTCTGGGCACAGGCTTAAGAGAGCAGGAAGGGTCATTCCTTTTTGTATTCCCATTACTGTATAAAGAGCTAGATCTACTGAGTGAGAAAAGTTTCACAACTTCTCTGAAATGCTGCTGAGTAACAGGATGAGTAAAGAAGGTACGTGTTAGAGGACCTACTACTGTGCCTCTCTATTAAGGAAGCAGGAGAGGGATTGAAATCTTTCTTGCATCCTTAAGACGACTGCCTTGGGAATTTGATCCAGGAGAAACTGGAACTGTGGGGTAAATCCTAGAGTATTTCCTAAGCTAGTTGAGCACAGATAGGAGATGGATCTCACCACCATTGAAAGATTTTTCAAACAGTTTCAATACATTTATTGAGGTTCTTTTTTTTTTTTTTAAATAGATTCTCAGTGGCTTACTTAGGCATTGATTGTTTCAGAAGTTTTTCTCGTGTGTGAATTTCTCTGTGCTTATTCAGAGCAGAGCTTTTACTGAAGCACTTGCCACAATCCTGACACCCATAGGGTTTCTCTCCTGTGTGGGTTCTATGATGTGCACGCAAATCAGAACTCTTACTGAAACTCTTTCCACAGTCAGGACACACATGGGGTCTCTCTCCTGTGTGTATCCTCCGATGTGCACTAAAATGAGAACTGTTATTGAAGCTTTTTCCACACTCTTCACATTGATAGGGCTTTTCTCCTGTGTGGGTTCTCTGGTGAATTATAAGGCTTGAGCTCTGATTGAAACGTTTTCCACACTCACTACATTGATATGGTTTCTCTCCTGTGTGGATTCTCCTATGGGTGATGAAATTTGAACTGTCACGGAAACTTTTCCCACAGTCAAGACACTTATAAGGTTTCTCTCCAGTGTGGATTCTCCGGTGTCTAATGAGGCGTGCACTCCGACTGAAGCTTTTCCCACAGTCAGCACATTTATATGGATTTTCCACTTGTTGGGTTATCTGATGCATGAGGTGGGAGTTTGCACCAAAGCTTTTGCCATATCTAAGGTATTTATTGGGTCTTTCTCCCAAGTAAGGTCTCTGATGACTTAAAACTTTATCCAAACTTCTCTCTGGGAGTGTGGGTTTTCCTCTTCTTTCTCCTGGGGTCCTTTCCCAGTGTCTTCCTGATCTACATTCAGTCTCACTGCCTTTACTGTGATTAAGATGCCGGCAAATTTTCCTTTCAGACCTTGCAAGTAATGTCCTATGTAGTTGTACTTCCTCAGAAATATCCCGTTTTAGATTCTCTTCATTCTCAAATCCAGCCTCAAAACCTGCCATGAGAATATAATTTTTAAAGTTATCCATTTCCTTAATGATTCTTTGCCGAGGTAAAATAAGTGTCACACTAGATAATTAAAGATTAAAATTAGGGGGTTTTAGATCCTAAACAATTAATATCTATTAACATTTCAGTGTTTTACTTTTCTCCTTGGTAACCTATCACACATTTCTCATCTACATAGGGCTCTTTAGTATATTCTTTTAATTCTTCCTGGATACCCAGGATCTTCAGAAAATCATCTCAGTATAACAAGAAAAATCTGCCAGATTTTAAAAATTATCGCCATTTTTATACAGGAAAGACACATCCTAATGCTGGACTTTTGCCTCTTCTCAGGCTATTATGGTACTCTAGTTTATGTTCTTTGCCAGTAACTAAAGGGATTAGAAGGGCATGTCCAGGAAAACTCTGGGAAACTTGTATATCCAAAAAGAGTTATATGTGTCCCCTTCTGCTCAAATTCCAGTATATGTTGAAAATAAAAATAGGGTAGAAGACTACTTGGTGTCTTCCAAAGAACAGTAAGCCTTCTAAGAGAAGAACTGTGCTAGGAAGTGTCTCACTAAAAACATTCTCTTTCTATGGAAAGCTAATCACTAAATGCTCCTAAAGCACTTACCCTAATGCCAAAGCTAAGAACCAAATGCCAGGCTCCCCAGGCCTAGGCTTTGTGAACTTGAAAATTTTTAGTTTGAATTTACAGAATTTTCAGATAAACTCTGGATCCCAAATTTCCTGGACTAAATCTGAGAGCAAAAGAATGCTGAGTGTCAGCTTGTGTTCTACCTGTCAGCAGTATTCCTATCTAGAAGTCAGGTCTTAAGACATGCCCCGTGAAATAGAGGTTCATCAGATTAAATGAAATCTCAGAACCATAAATATGTAAATTTTTTGTGATCCTCCATGAGGGATTTTTAGCATTTCCTAAACCTAAAAGCCATTTTTTAGTGGAATATAGTAACACCCCCACGGAACTCATGCTCCATGGAACAACCTTAAAGAATGTTGATCTAAAGAACTTTTGGAAAAGAAAACTGCTCTTTATTGAATACTTACCATGTGCCCAAGAATTGGCTAGGTGCTTCACCATGGTACCTTATTTATAGCAACTTTTTGAGGTAGGTCTTCATAGATAAGTAAACTTACAGGATTAGGTTCTAAGTTACTCAACTTATAACCAACAGAGTCCAGATTCACATACATATACAGG